TTCTGCAGCTGACCAGATGTCAAAAGGGCTTGCAGAGTTGATCTTACGGTCCTAAATCTGTGTATCGGCCAACCAAGCTCGATAACTCTTCAATTTGTTTCGTCCATGTATAGTTGTTGCAAAGCAATAATGTGCGCTATGTTCAAACAGTCTTATACACCCGTATCTTCCATAAATTAAAACAAGTTTTAAAAGTATCTCAAAACGCCTGGACATATAGCAATTGTCTTTCTGTCATTACGGTTATGTTGACTACGTTCAGTTATCACATTGACATCGTTTCGTCCGCATAACATCTGCAACAGCAACGTTTTCTAATCCTTTATCAGATCTAACCTATTTATGAATTCTATACGTTTGAACACCCGACAAGAAACACAGGTGTTGTCTGAGCAAGACAAAAAGTGACCATCCTGCGATAGCCATCTCTACCCCCTGACACAACAAATAACAAATCTCTAACGAACAAGATTGTGATTTGTATCCATATGCCGCAGATGATTTGGCCTCAATACATCAGACACACGCCTATAAGCCGACTACGTTTTTTTGTTCTGAAACAACCCCAATCGTATCCAGTCTGTAAATGCTCTCTGTTAAACGATACCGCTGAACAATCATAACTCATGCCTGTTTTCGAAGTATTTACATGATCATGTTTTCTCCGCACAAAGATAACTCGTTTATGACCTTTTTCAACATGCACATCAAGGTTTTCATCAGATTATATAGAAAGACGACTACTCTGATAGTTTGCTGACGATTCCTGGTGTACTTTTTTATGAACGATCAGTATTAAGCCCAAATGAATCTAAAATAGCAATCACTTTTCTCTTTTTCTATTTACACATGACAGTTTTGATTTCATTGGGCGCTTGACTGATACCTTGTAAAATATACAATTCCTTTATAATTCTCATTATACATAGATAATTTTATACGGTATATTGTTATAAAGCTGCGCAAAGATGCAAAGTAGTGCTATATTGTAGCATTTTACCATTGTATAAGTATACTGAAACAGCATATAGGAACAAATAAGCATCATACAACATCATTGACAATTATTAGGTATTGATTTCCCCAATCTAACCATAAGTTAACTACTTTATACATGAGAGTCACATCTGCCCATACTCTACGTTGTTGAAGACTGGGCAATTGTAATTGATTTATGAGTTCAGTTATTGTGTGGGTTATATGGTCTATTCAATACCCATCTCGCTGCGTTACTTTGTATCTATTGTATCTGTTTAACTTGAGTCTTTTGTAAAGGATTAGCGTATTCTAGTTTAGGTCTGACCAAACTAATGAAAGTTTTTTTCTTTTACTTTGGGAGGACAGTATCTTAAGTCCCTCTTTAAAAAACAAAGTGTACTTGCTGCCTTTTTAGTGATGTTGTTAATATGGTCGTTGAATTTCAAATTATCACTGAATTCAATCCCTAAGTACGGATGCCGGTTGACTATTTCCAAGCTTTCGCCTTTCATTTTGTAGTCATACTTCTTTTTATGTGAAAAATACCATAAAAATAGACCGTTAAACCAACACAATCCTTGTGTTACTGAACTGATAAATAAATTACAATTGCCTTCAATCATACATTCTAAACCATACACTCTTTTTATTACGCGTGCACATTTGAAAATATTTTTTTCGTTTTGTTCTTTATGCAATATTTCTAGATTAAAAATCATTACTTTACTATTATAGTTAGTAGTTGCATGGCAATGATGCGTATAAACTAGAATTACCTTTGTTTGCGCAGCGTTCGCGTTGCCATTGAACGCCTAAGGACATCTTGTTTGCAATGCGTCTTTATCCCGCCCTTCAACGTAACAGGCAAACGTTGTATTTTGTATTTCCTTACAAGGCTTTATTTTTATATGTGTTTTTTTAATATCTCCTTTTTCATAAAATAAAACACTTATTGACTTGTGAGACAATATGTCAAACAATATGTCATCTGCCGCTGGATATCACTTCATATTCAATGGCACACTAGTCAATAATTGTATAACATCTTACACTAATCCAACAAAATATATAAAATAATGGATATCAACACTGTAAGTTTCCATTTATACTTTTCCTTTTGCACTGCATATGACCTGTGTAAATAAATAACAAGTTGCTTATATTTACGTACTACTGTCGATAAACCCGGAAACAATAGTTGAAGGTCTTACATGATCTCATGAAAGCCTTGAGCGTATATAGTTTTTAATACTGATGTGAAATCTGAGATGATAAATAATCATTATTATATAAAATACGAGTATATGCGGGTTTTCAGGTGATCAGCCATTTGTAAACGAGATGTGTGTACTTGACCAGTTAATGTTATATCTATCTCTTCTGATATAGGACACGTTTGTTTATAAATGCTGTGAATGAGATATTGTAATATAAACATTTACCACACTTTCCATAATAAAAAAATCATTTCTTAACATCATGACGAATCGAAAAAAATTACGGATATATTTACAGATTACATAAAATGTAACACGGAAGAAGCATTCTCCAAGAATGTGAAGTTCCTTTCTACAAATTCGTAGAAGTTAAAAGAAAAAAGCCATGCGTAACATATAATTACAACAATAAATAAGGGGAAAACACGCGGATAGTGAAAGTCAAACTTTGGAAATTTGAGCACTGACACGTCTCAAAAACATTTGATGTCCTTTTTTGATATCCTTATTATAATAAATGCACATACTATTTTGTTTTAAACCTGTTTTTCTTTTGTTATTGTCTTTGGCACCCATATTTTCAACAACTCTACATACAAAATGGCTTGCGTAAATATTTTTACCATCGTTATTCAGACTTAGTTTTAAAATTTAATTGTTATTTAAAAACTCTTTTACGACAAGGTATTAGCAGGCCTGACTTCTATGGAGATGTGGTTTACAAACTTCGTAGGATCATGGGTCATAGTAATTTTTCTGCCGTCTTCACTAAAGTTATCAAACGGTTTATTAAAAGAGGTTATGACCCAATTATTTTGAGGCATACCGCATGCTTGGTGTTCAACCCTTTTACAGTTGGACGCTACGCTTTCCTCTTTTGATTACATCTGACGGACCAAGTGAGAGACCATATGATGGACAGTTCTTCAAGTTCTTTGGGGACTGAATTGTCTTAATGTTCGTCTTCTGCCTTGCTTCGTCGGCCCTTATAGGTGATTTTCTTGTTGCTCTGCCTTCCTTTAAGACATCGAGTACTTTGGTAATGGTCATTAGGCAGTAACTTTTTCTACATATTTACATAATTTTGTATGTGTTTTATTTATTTAGTCTAATGTAACCATGGCCATTGTTAGAATTTCACTTGGCGGGGATTAATTTTATATACATTTTTTGTGTCATTCAGGAACATATTGGGGCTAAGAGTGAGGTTTGGCGCGCCTAAAACCGGTTTAAACTCCCCAGTGGTTTAACTACCACTGACCGTTCCAAGGCTGCTTGGTTGTGTCCGGGGGCGGCGTCCGGTGAACGTTGCCTTTGCCTTGTTGATCTTTATTCTTGTTATTTTATTTGATACAATCGTAAATTGTGTAACAAATGTCATAAAATAGCTCTCAAATAATTGAAAGTTCACGTTAGATTCTATCCGTAATTACGATAATTATCAGCTTCATACTTTTCTTTGTTACTGTAGAAAATTATTTTTAATTTGTTGCATGTTGAATTTAGTACACACACAAATTATACACTATATATTATTTACGAAAACATAAACAAAAAACACATAGGTTCGCTTTCTTTTAAAGCCTTATTAAAACTCTTACGCAAGTTTTCGCACAATAATACATTCTACGTAACATTGTTATAGCAGTGAATGAAGTTCATCAAAATGTTATATACTTCATCATTTCTACTTCCTTAACGAAATTATTTATGAATGTCTCTCAACCTTGAAACAACTGTGTGCATAAATAGTTACACGTACACATTCCGTTGTACTCTTAACTGTTTATGTTCATATATATTATTTTTGTAACTTGATAGCTAAACTTGCCGTTTATTTTGTCATTTAATAATATAACGTGTAGTTCAGGACATGTTTGTGTCCCATATGTAAGACAGCCAATATTCTTACATATTTCGGACTAAGACAACAAATTACCGAACAAAAATAACAATTAAAAAGTCAACATGAATTTTGTTCTGTAATAGAAAAAAATTAAAGTAATGATTGAAAGAAATCTGAGTTTGCGTATGTGCGTGTTTGTGCGCCCTTGTAAGCGTAGAAACATGTATCAACTACTTGTAAGTCTTTCATTACCAGTTATTTCTCATTTTCACAAATATATGTCAACAACGTTCACTTTTCCAGTGAGTTTAATAACAGTGAACATGGGTAGAGTATAGTTGATCTTTCGGTTTTCAGAACAAACATGGGGAAATTATGTTATATTGTTATAAACAAAGTGTCATTTTTTCAAGAAGAATTCATAAATATCTAATCATACATAGGTGTGTAATTGAGGCCGCAGAACTGCATCCGGATAGTGATTATTGATGAAATATGAAAACGGTATGCTCTTTATGGTCAAATTTTGTAGAGTTGGCGTATCCGGAATTATTATTTTGTCCCTTTCAATCTTTCGAAAATACCCTTTCGTTCTACATGTCTAATACTTCATAACAGAAATTTCGGGCGTTTCTAGTAATGTCCGGGAATTCTCATTCCCGACTGTATAAAAGAAGAGCATTTTTATGTAACTGATATTCATTTCAAAACACTAAAACACTATAATGATCACTGTGTTTATATTACTTGGTAAAGTATATCTAATTTAGTTATTTTATATTATGTTTATGGTATGAATTTCAAAAATAGCTAATTGTTGTCTATGTTGTTATGATATATTTAACTTTTTATTAAAACATACAATTGTAGCTTGATATAGCATATTTAAATAAAAAACAAAATTTCGTTTCGATTAAATTTTTATATCATGAAGATTTTATAATGATAACATTTTACAGCTGTATGCATGTCATCGGCATGCGGTTTCCATCTACCAGACTGGGCACCACCTTGTTTTCAGAATGACGCTGGCAATCCTCTAGTGACACAAACATTGAAACAGTCTCTTGAAAATGTCAAATCCTTTATAGATGGCCTGCACTATGATGTTGAATTGCGAATACAAACAGTAAGTTCATGTCGTATTGTCAACGTACAATTGTTTGAGTAAATGTGCTGTCAAGGAAACATGTGTCGACAAATAAAACCAAAATGGTTATTTTTAATTGCATCTGTGCAGAAATATGTTTTTACAGGATAATTAATATTGATAACATGTAGGTCTTCATGATATATCATTGACTTTATCTATTTATCATCGACTCGTATGAGATAAAGACCGAAATCTCGCTATCAGCAGGGATCTTGTCACGAAATTTGAACTATGTTCTTTCTTATACATTTTAGATGAAAATACATCTTTGTATAGATTTGCCGGACAGCGTCTTAGAATCTATTCGTTTAGTGGACTATAATACCACAAACGCTGCTTGCAATACAGACTATCAATATAATGTAAGTGAATATAACAAAACTAATACATTTTTAAGTTATAAATAGAAATTCAATTGTTACAGTGTATTACATAATATACTTATCAACCTTAACCTTAAATGAAATAAAGCGAGAACTACAAATATGCATGAAAGTGGATATAAGTTTGTTTTTTGCGATATATATTTCAGATCTGTAAAGACTCTAAAACACTCCTAACATTAATGGAAGACAGTTATGAAAAGTTGAACCAACTTGCCGGCTACCTTCAACAGTTGAATAATACTGCAAAAGATTACTTCTCACGAGGAATACTCACCTCCACCCAAGGTGACATATATGACATTATGTGTAACATTAAAATCGTCATGAAAGCAAAAGGTCAAGACCCAAACATGATTGTGCCAGGTGAAAACCTGTCAAATGTCTTTCAGCAAGATGGTCAGGCCTCTATATCAACATGTGACCAACATAATGCTGAATATGTAGCCATGTTAAACTGTAGAGAAGTCTCAAAACATCTTAATAAACTATTTCAATCATTATTGACACATAATATCGATTGTTAGATACTTGTATATCATTTGAAAATGACATGTCAAAGATGAAGTTTTATGAATTGTCTTCTAAAACTTTTATTATAGAATATATATATGTCTTAGTTAAACAAGTAATTTAAATTCCGTCAATTTGGTTATGTTTCAATTTTATGTATATAAATTGAAACTGTGATAAATATTTTAGGAAGATGTTTTACTAATCTCCCATCTGTACTATAAATCATAATATCTACTGTACTGTAAATCATAAGATCTAGATATATATTTTAGAATTAAAATTATCCCTCATTTTGTGTCAAAGTATTTTTTTACATATTTTCGTTAGCTTGTATATTTAAATTGTATGATAAGTATGATATTTAAACAAACTTTATATGCCATAAATATCTTTCCATAAAAGTTCATTGAAGAAGTCACCTATAGTTGTATGTTGTTGTTGTTGTTTTTAAAGACAAAAATTTCTTTCAATAAAATAGCTTTGAAGTCGCCTATGCTTGGTTTTCTCTCTCTTTTTTTTATTAATGCTTCCGAGGGATCAATTTGTTTCCAGATTTTTATACTTCACAACAGGTGTCAAGTGCTGTGTGGCAGCTGTAAACAGTTGCCCCGTACTTCACTTCAGTGTTGTTATATTTTTGTGGTCATTCAGGATCATTGATTCCAGCACTATTGGGTGTTGAGAATTGAGTACCGCTCAAGCCGGTGCTAGGGGACGTGAGGGATGTTGCACGTATTCATTATCCCTCATGTACAGACTCAATCAAACCGAGTCTGCAATTCTCTTGTAATTTTGTTGTGAATAATGCTTCCGAGGGATCACTTTGTTTCCAGATTTTTACACGTAACATCTGACTTTCACACAACTGTATTCTTATTATTGAACCAGGGTGCGTGTCGTCCAAAATATTTGTATACAAGTCACCAGTAGAAAAACAAATGTTACCAAATAATTATAACTTCGTGATATTAATTTACAGACGTTTAACCGGCTTTTTAATATTGTGCAACAAGTGTAATCTAAGATAGTTAATCGAAAATTCACAATTAATAATAACATTTGACATCTAGATATAAATTCAAGAAAACAAATGACAAGAAATATATGACAATGCAATATTAGATATATAACAAACAAAATATATCTAAATTAATGTTTTCTTGTTCCAATAATATTTATAGTACTTACCGAACCATCGGTTTTAAACAATAAAACAAATATGCTTTAATTGAATTCAAGCTGCAGGTTGAATTCTACAAACACATGTTTACATTACTTGCTTCTGATAATTGTCTGCCACATTGTTTCATCTTATGATACCAACATGATAAATTTTACACACACATTAAACACACTTGTCTGCCATCCTGTGGCGAAATAAAATGATGTCACGAATGACGATTGAGATATTTCCTTACAGACTTGTTTATGGGACAAAACAAATTCTGACACCTATATGTATGAAGAATGTTATTGAAAAGAAAACATTTCATAGGTTTATCTTATTCTTATAGACATCATGGATATATAAAGAATGATTTTAACAAGATATTCTCACTAAATAATGTGACAAATTAAACGTTCAGTTAATTAGTACATAATGTGAGTTTCATGTACGTATGATTGTTTAAGTGACATTATGCTCATATTTTCTTTGTCAAGATGAGCTGAATTGACTTGATAGTTCAAAAGATTGGCTGTTTAAATGATGCTTGACCAACAGATTATATTGGGAAATGGTTATGATAAAATCTAAAATCTGCATAAAACATAAAAGACTGTCCTACTATTTTTATAAATTGAACGTTACAGGTAAATTCTAAATGATATTTACTGAAATATCTTTTGAATCAGGTGGTTATTTATTATTTATGCTAAATAACCACCCTTTATGCTAACTTGTTGTTTGCACTTATCTTGAATGTACTGTGTATTGTTGACCCTTTTATATGATATGCAGCTTTTCCAGTAGGCGCTACAAGAAGGATTCTTCTAGTAACAGAGCCAACTCCAGCTTGTTTATTACAATATTTCAGTGATGTCTAGTACAGTGCACGAACAACAAAACTCTTGCCTACCCAAGCGCCACCACTGAAAAAGCGAAAAATTTGCTCATCTGAAGTCTTCAAATGGTGCATTGTGTCAAAAACAAATGATGCCTGTTCAGTATTTAGGGTTCTCATGAGTTCTCTGTATAGTTCATCTGGCAGTTCATGGTAATCATGGAGGTCATCTTCTGATGAAAAAATTGGCAGTTCAAGATCCCTACCTATATTAATGCCTTTATCTGTCATGTGTTTTGGTTGTCTTTGTCTATTTGACTGCTATGTTCAGTTGTAGGTGCCAATTCACCCCAAACATCCTACAGGTCTGGGTCGGCACTAAGGACCTTTTGTGATCGATTCACTTTTGTAGAGAAAGGTTCAAAGACTTGTTTGATGGAATTTATTTCAGACTCAATTTGTTTATATCTGTCATAGAATGATTGGCAATACCAACTAAATTTATTTCAAAGTATAACATATTTGTTCTCTTTAGTATTTTTCTAGATCTGTATCTGGATTGAGATGAACTGGGCGTATAATGTTGCCTCTGGTCCTTTTTCTGTAGGTTCAGATTTTAATGAAGGATCCTTTTTTTATTGTCACAGACTTCAGGTTCTGGTAGCAAATTGTCGTCTTTTTTTATCTGAATCACCACAACTTGCCTCTTGTGTAGCTTTTCTAAGTAATTCACTCATTCCTCGTTGACTCGTTGTTAAGTATGAAGCAGCATAAGTAGCACATGCATAGACATCTATTACAAATTGAATGTCAACATTTGCTCTCCATGCACACAAAACAGATTTGTTGTAATTATTGACACTTGTTTCTCTGTAACATTGCTTCAGAAAGATGGTTGTCCTTGTTATTGATGATCTAATTGCGCACAAGTACTGTTCATCAGATATGCCAAGATTTGCACGAAAGTCTTCTTAAGAAATGGGTGACAAGTCATCAATTTCATTCAAGGCAGATGATACTACTTTCCATGTTGCTTTATGTACAGAAATTTCTTGTTAACTAAATTCTGGGGTAAAAAGAGGTTCAAGAATGAGAGTTCTATCAAGAAGAGGTTTTGGGAATCCAAATCCACATTTCTTCTCTTTATTTTTTCTACATGTGTGACTGTGCCTGTGAATCTGGAGTTGTACAAGGTCAAACAATGGGTCATTATTATCCAGCATAGCACAAGATATGTAATCATCAATAAAATCACAGATCTCTTGCTCAAAGTATGTTTCATACACCAAATGACCATGTGTATGTTTGGGGAGCCCCTGTGTTGGTATTCAACTCGGTAGAAGAAGTTATGAATTTTATGTAGTGAACATGCAGTTTTCAATAGGAATTCAATGAGATATTTATTAACTGCATAAATAAAGTGCCTTGCACAGGTCACTGGATCAGACTAGATTAAATGGCATTTATGTTACCATGTAAATGCTTTGATTTCATCTTCACTGTAGGTTTTGTTATCAACAAGTTTTCCAAGTATACCAAGAAGATGTGTTCATCATGTTTCCGCAGCACAGAGAGTATCAAAGAAAGTGGAAGCTTCTATTTGCCTTATCATTGCATATAAATCTTTGCTGACCTTTTCAAAGTAGGGAGGTGACACTCTTATATTGGTTAGAGCTTTGTATGCTTTGTCACAACGAATGAGAGAGTAAATGGCATCTGCACGAATATCTTTCACTGTTGTGTTTGGTGTTTAGTTTTAACTTTTCTGGGAAGCTAAGAAGTTTGGTCAATAAGGATCTTCATCTGGATTTTCTGGGCTTTAAAGAAGATATTTTCTACACAGACCGCTGCTCGTCTATCAAAATTACGTAATTCAGACTATACTATTATCCATATGACACCTTGACAGGTCTTTCCGCATTAGTTGGACGGCGTTCGCCACAGAATATTTTTAGAAATCCCAATCCTTCTGCATCTTTTTCCAAGAAAACACAGACAGGAATATTTCCATCTCCTGGTGCAAAGTTGTAAATTGGTTCTATGAAGTTTTGAGCAGAGAGCAAGGTGTCTGAATGCCAGACATTATTTCATTTTCATCAGTTTTACTTCATTGATCTTCATTGTCATTTTTCTCTGCTGGAACAGTTTCTACATCAGAAGACTGCTTATCACCAAAACAACTTTCTGTTTGGTGTTCCACAGGCGTATGTGTATCTGTCTCTGTCACAGGTTCATTTACTCTATAATGAAGATTCTGTTGTATATAAAATGTGATGTGGTCTTTGTATAGGGATTTCTTAGATAGATACTGAGCACAATTTCTAACAATTTCTGGTCTGATTTTTATGTTGTGTATGCGATGGTTGTATGTTAGGCGGCGCTTAAGTGTAGCTTTGATAGTGGCTGTTTTTGAAGGCAATAGCGGAAGGCTGGAAACAGTTCTTTCAATATCTGCAGGTACTAAAACCATATTTCCATGAATAAACTTTTGCCTGCCTCTTCGAGCTTCGTGAATTTTCTTGAAAAAAGTCTAACAGCAAGATGATTTTGTTCAAAAGGGTTGAGATCTTGCAACATATCCTGGTCTGGAAAAAAACATTTTATTCATTGCAGACATCGGCGTAATTGTCCTCTTCTTTATGTATGACTGACATGTATGACAACACCATGTTCTCTCAGCAACACTAACTATTTTTGGTAAATCTTTTAGAACTGTATTGTTGTTAAAGATTTCTCTCTTAAATTCTGTCACAGAAAGCTTGTAAAATAACTGTTTACAGCTTGTACATATGTATAGAGGTCCACATTGGACAGTTTTATGATTTTTTTCTATTAATTCCTCTATAGTTGGCTGCTGCTTCTGTTGTTTATTTTGGTACTTATGACAATATTCTCTTTTTTATATAATGTTCATCAGTTCTCTATTTCTTTTTGGCCAGGGTATCTCTATTGTTTTTGGTTTGTCTGTAGTCTACATATGCACGTTTATTCTTTCTGGTGGTGGTTTCTCTATTTTTTTCTAAATATTTATAGTCCTCATCTGAACGTTTTTCTTTCTTGTAGTTGTCTCCCGACTTTTTTCACTTTGTTTATAGGTAACATCTGAACGTTTGCTTTTCTTCTGGTTGTATCCTGATTTTGTTCCAATTGTCTATAGTGCACACATGAACGTTTTTCCTTTCTGGAAGTATTATCTCGACACTTTTAAATTTGTCTATAGGCCTCATCTGAACTTTTTCGTTTCTGGAAGTATTATCTCGACATTCTCTTTGTCTATAGGCCTTATCTGAACGTTCTGCCTTTCTGGAAGTATTATCTCGACATTTTCACTTTGTCTATAAGCCTCATCTGAACGTTTTGCTTTTCTTGTACTGTTCCCTCTTATTTTTTATGCTCCCCGAAAAATTTCGGGGGAGCATATAGTCGGCGCCTTGTCCGTCTGTCCGTCCGTTCCTCTGTCTGTCCGTCCGTCCG